CATGAGTTTACCAGGGCCAAATCGTGCTTGACAGACGTGATCACCTTCTACTACAAAGTAACCTGCTTGGTTGGGTGCAGGGCGAGCAGTGGACATTCTCCAAGACTTTTGGTACAGCTCCTCACAGCCTGCTCCTGGAGAAACTGACTCATTACAGCCTTGACAAGTGGTCTGTGCAGTGAGTGGGGAGCTGGCTGACAGACCGTACGCAGAGGGTGGTAGTCCATAGTTTCTCCTCAAACTGGCAACCAGTCACGAGTGGTGTCCCTCAGGGATTGATATTGGACCCAATGCTGTTTAACATCTTCATTAGTGACCTGAATGTTGGGATCAAGAGCACCCTTATGAAGTTTGCTGACACCAAGATGAGTGGGAAAGTTCACACTCCAGAAGGGAGAGCCACTCTCTAGGATGACCTAGACAGACTAGAGGAGTGGGCTAACAAAAAGCTTATGAAGTTCAGTGGGGAGAAGTGTACGGTCTTGCACCTTGGAACACATAACCCAGGAATGCAGTCCAGGCTGGGATCCACCTGAGTGGAGAGCAGCCCTGTGGAAAGGGACCTGGGGGTCTTGGTGGATAACAGGCTCAACATGAGTGAACTATGTGCTGAAGCAGCAAAGAAAGCCAGTATGATGCTGGGCTGCATCAACAAGGGCATCACCTGCAGAGATCAAGAAGTCATCATCCCACTCTACTTGGCGCTTGTCAGACCACACCTGGAGTGTTGTGTTCAGTTTTGGTCCCTGCTCTACAAAAAGGATGTGGACAGGCTGGAGAGAATCCAGAGAAGGGCCACAGGGATGATCAGAGGACTGCAGAACCTGTCAAGAGGAGAAGCTGAGAGAACTGTTTGTTCAGTCTTAAGAAGAGAAGACTTTGAGGAGACCCTATTACAATGTTCCAGTACTTAAAGAGTGGCTTCCAAGAAGGTGGAGACTCCCTTTTTAGAAGAAGTCACATGGAAAAGACAAGGGATAATGGGCACAAGTTGCTGCTGGGGATATTCTGGTTGGATGCGAGCTAAATTTTTCAACCATGAGGACAGTCAAACATTGGAATAGTCTCCTAAGAGAAGTAGTAGATTCCCCCACGTTGGACAGTTTTAAGTCTCAGTTTGACTGGGTGCTGAGCCATCTCCTATAAGCTATGGTAGTACCTAGAAAGGTTGGACCAGATGGTCCTTGAGGTTCCTTCCAACCTGGTATTCTATGATTCTATGAAATTAGGTCTTTATTGCTTGCAATAATTAAAACCTACTGCTATGTAGACCATTTGGAACGTACAAGTTTTTAAATAAATGTATCAGCTGATTAGGGAAGCAGTAAACAACAGCAGAAACAGAACTTGAAATTTTAATGTAAGAGGCTGGAGGAGAGGAAATGTCAAGGGTATAATTTTCTTCCAGTTTTTTAAGGATCCAGAAGGCAGGATAAGAAAGAATGAAGCTTTCAGTTTCACCCAAGAGGAGGTAGTACACAGAGGGGAGGAGCTAGAAAGCTTCTATCTCGTGCTTTTTGTTGGTGATTAAATTTTATTATGTAAGAATTGAAAAGAAGGACCTAAAGACAGCACTTGCACTGAGAGATCAGCATTTTCACCTTAGACTCAACTGTAGCTTTAAGCTTTCCCTCACTGCCCACTCCCCCCTTTCCAGCTCCCCACTATATGAAGTATACATTAACTATGCTGAAAACTCAGGATGACAGATGCCAGGTAAAACTTTCATATGGTCTATGCTTGACTCCTTTCACTCAAAGAGTTTTATATTTATGGTTTAGAGATAATATCTGTTGCCAAATCCAGAAGCTGTACTTCAGACAGTACTGAAGGTACCATGGATAAGATGTAATAGCAAATTAAACATTAAAAATGCTACTTGCAGAAGTTACTGTTCTTTCAGGCATGGCTTGCACTCACTTAGTAGAGACACTTATGAAAAAAAAAGTGTTTTCTGGTGTTGTGTATAACCACATCTTGTGTACTTAATTTCTTAATTTTTAAATGTGAAATAGTTGCTAGCACACATGAAATACATAGTATTTTTCCAAATAATTACAATCCATTTCAACAGGCTTTATCTTTGGATTATAATGAATTACTACAGATGCATTTCAGTGTTCTAGTTCTGCATAAATCTGTATGTTGCTTTAGGCAAACGCCTTGCGCCTTGTTGGACTATAAAGTCTGGATGTGCAGCCACTTCTAACAGCTTTGGACTTTTTATTGGTAATTACACAGATGGTGAAGAGTGTTTTGATACAGAGATGCTTTTATAGGAAAAAATAGCTTGCAAAAATAATTTGACACTGAATATTATTCACTGCATTTTTTTCCCTCTAAGATGTAGTATTTCATTATTTGAATGCTTTCTGAAATTATTTCTAATGATTCTCCCTTTTGCTAGTCTAAAGTAAAGTGTTATTTGTTGACTTTTCAAAAATTTGAGCCACACTTTTAATTACTTCCACGTTTTGCCATTTAGTTTTTAGAGGAATGTATTCTGCCACTCAGATTTGTTTTAGAATTAATACACTTGCATATCACAGGCTACTGCCCTAATTGTGGAGATATGCAGAGTGCTCTAACAAGGCAACATTAGTGTGTAATAAAGATGGTATTCTGTAGTGTTATACTAAGCCCCTAGAAAACAGCCTAAAACAGTCTGATAAGGAAATTTGAATTCATAATGTGAAATTCCCAGGATTGTTAGGCTGAGTACAAGCTAAGGTGCAGTGTGGATTCCTGTTGATATACTTGGCATCAAGAGTCTTTGCTTTTTGTCTGTCCTAAATCATGGTGCAAATTAATGTTCTACCTTTTCTTGTCTTCTGAAGCTTAGTGTCTTGATCTTTTCTTTAGATGCTGTTAGAACATGACTGTGGAAAATTCAATGGTTTAAGTTGATAAAATTGCTAGTAGTTGTATTTGACATCTGAACAGTTTTGGTCATACATGACTGCATACGTGGTATAGATCTGAGATTTAATATACCTTGTACTAGGATTTCTGTGGCTGTTATAATCAGTTTATTGAATATAGTATTCACTTCTAGTCACAACTTCAGAATTTATAAAGAGAATTCAGAGGCTCATGCAGTTAAGCAGACTAAATATGTTGATCTGGTATCAGACTGTTCTTTAAGTGGTTGATCTTTACTATTAGTTATTTCAGATTTAAACAAAATAAAAATAATTAAGAGAGTGGCACTAATTTCCATGGGTATCTTAAAACTCCTGTAGAGAACTGCTGATGTTTCTTCCTTCAGCTTTTTCTACCTTGGTCGTCTTCTACTCACTTCACCCTCACGAATGTGTTACGGCACCGTTAAGAGTCAGATTGTAGAAATAATTTGTTTTATATTTGGGGGTGGGAAGTTGTTTTTGGCAACTGAAAAATAGAACTGGTGGCTTTCTGAAGTCACTTTGCAGGCAGGCCAAAGACAATTCCAATTTTCCTCTGACATTGCACATTTTCAAAGTGTCACAGAAAATGTATTAAAAATTAGCTATAGCAATAAACTTATGTACCAAATTAAATGCAAAACAACTGTTACTTTCACGTAAAATGCAGTTTTAAAGAGCAAGTACTGAAAATAATTGCTCATAATATGAATCTTATTAGCTTTGACTAAATGCATATGTAAGTATAAGGAATTTTTTGAGGTTAACTACCTGATTTCTCGTAATTGAGAGCCATGATATGTATGTCTCCTGGATTTGGAACCTGATTTTGTTTCTGTCTTATACTTAATATAACTTCGAGAGATGGTAGAATGCATATTGACATATTTACTATGCATAATAATTTTGATTAACCTCCAAACTTACTGCTGCTCATCCCATGGTTTTGTAGGTCTTCTGTTCAGTCTGATTTTTGTTTAGAACCCTTGCACCTTACCGTGTGTTGACATGCTTGTCATCTGATAGCTGTTGATCAGATACCTACTACTTGGAATCATGATAGTGTTTCTGATGTAAAAATATATTTTGCATGGGTGTTTTGGCACACCAGGCTATGTAAATACATATGTGTTCATATCTTGAGTTAAAATGTTCTGAATTTATCACCTGTTATATGATGGAAGAGGATATCCATATGTCATGAATTGTTTGTCTACGAGGTTTTTTGTTCTTGTTTTTTGGTTGTTTTTAATTCAAGGAAGCAAATTTTTCTGGATTCTAGCAAGGACCTGAGACTAGAATTCTTGAATTCTAATGAGATCAATAATAACTCATTTTGGGCAGTAGCTTAACCTCTCTGTCTCAGTTCTCCAGTCCATTAAATAAGAATGTTAAAACTTGTCTTACAAATATTAATACCCCACAGAACATACAGAAATTAAATTGGTATGTGTGCTGTGTATAGTTTTGTATTACTTGTTCACAGCAGTTACTGAATAGGCAGCTCTAGAGAATGAAAAAAAATCACCTATTTCTGCTTTTGGTATTTTATTTAGAAAATTTCAGCTATTTCCTTCGACTTCAGTATACTTAGCTTTTTTCCACTGTAAGTGCCAAGAAGTGTCAGCCTGTGCCAATTATACCATTAACTTCAGTGACAAAGCAAAGCTACCTGTTGGTAACTGGGCTGTGACTAACAACTCATGTGTGAGAATGCTCCATAACTGTAAGCCTAACAACTCTTGACTTGTCAGAAGTGCTGTCTAGTAGGAGATGTGAAAGACTTATTTTTCCAATTTTACAACTCTGTTATTAGTGCTGTAGATCAGACTTGAGAATCTTCCGTGCATTTTTTTCATCTAATACTTGTACAATAGCTAACTGGTTACAAAACTAGACTTTTTTAACCAGTGAATAATTTATTCAAACAGATGAAATCTATTCATTAATGTGTTCATCAGAGATCCACTTTTATGAATTGTACTGGTTTTGCCAAACAATTACATCTTTAAGTATAACTTGTATTCTGGAATTTATATTCTTGTGACTCTTTATTAATGTCTGCCTAAGTTGATTACATTTCTTCTTTTTTTTAAGGTAAAGTGCAAGTTAAGAGTTCAGACATACAAGTTGGAGACCTCATCATAGTGGAAAAGGTTGATACTTTTTAAATATATTTTAGAGACTAAAGATTATTGACATGTTAACTATCTTTTGAAGAAAATATATCATGGTACTTATCTGTGAAGTACTAACTAGCTAATATTTTAGTTCAAGTGTTATTTGAGAATCTACAAGGAAGTCTATTTTTTATTAATTGTAAGCTAAATTGAATGTAGGCATTTAGATTTTATGAATTGGTATATGTTTAAATTTATCTAGTGAAGGGAATAAAATTCTCTGGCTTGTGCAGTGCTGGATATTCTAAGCTGTCTGATTGCTGGTACCTACCTTCTGATGTGTTTTTCTGAAGGCTTCAAGGATAATTTTGTTTACACATAAAATGTAATTATTTTATATCATTTAACATGTACACAATATTATATTTAATTAAATAAACTTTTATATTATTTTTAAAAAGGACAAAAAACTGTAGCCTTTCCAGTTTGATTGCAAATGGTGAGTGAGAGCTGTGAACGTTTTTCCCCTTATGTTAGTCTTATAGTTAAGACAATATTTCTTATTAAAGTTGTTTTTCTGGGGTGCTAACAAATCACTATGATAGTGAAAGTCAATGTTGTTGTCAGAGGAAACAATTTTTACTTAAGTTCATTATGAAAAGGTCACTTAATTTCTAGGTGCCAGCAAGTGATTCCCATCTTGCTTTGTATTAGCAAACTAAGCCATGGAGATGCGGGAAGGAGGCATCTCAAGATAAAGCTTGTACCTGCTGCCTTGTTTGAAGTTTTGTATGGCAACTTGCATCTTGGCAGAATAGTCATTAGTGGAACCTTGTCAGTGACTAGACTTTTTGAAACTTCTTGATGGTTTGACTCCTACTTAGTGGAGTAAATTACTTCTGATAAAAGAAAATCCTTCAGCTGATATGCATTCTTGATACATTGTGTGCTTTCTTATTTGTTAGCACCTCTCCTTTTACTTGCAGAATTTGGAGAACTTGCAAATTGTTAGAGGATGGAGATTTATTTTCTTTTTTCAGCTATATATAAGAAGTCACTCTTCTGTTTGTTTTGGAAAACTTATTTCATTCTGTTTTTTCTGTGGTCCAAACAAAGAACAATACACCCAAGTTTCATTTGGTTTGCTTCTCTCAGCTAAAAATATACCAATTTTCATGTAGTTTGTGCTGTTTCTGGTTTCGGTTTTCTATTATTTTTCTTCCTTTTGTCTGCTGTGTATATCTGCTATCTTTTTGGGCCTGAGCAGCATATATTAGCATAGGGAAGATTAGCACTAATTTGTCTGGTCTTCACATCTGTTTTGCCATATACATTGCTATAAGAGAGTGCAGGTGGAGTCAGCTTGCAGCTGCTTGCTTGCACCTATTCCACATCATCCTGGAGACTAAGAATGAGATATTTACTTTGGTTTTTATTAGGAAACTTTTTAGGGTCGTCTTAATCTCTAAATCTGGAATTAATTATTGCAGTGTATAGGGAAAACTGAAGTGGCTACATAGGTAGTTTGTCTCCCCTGAAATTTACCGAGATCTATCAGTCTGAATTATGCTAGAATTTGGAAAACTGGAATTACTTGGGGGATCAATCTGTCTTGTATGAGGTAGGTCATTAGAATGTATTTCAGCATTATTTGCAGCAGCTTGCAGGTAATATATCTTGAGGTACCTGAAGTTTCTAAAGAGAAAAAGTAGTACTTAAGGATTTAGGCAAATAATGAGTAGAGTTCTTTTTGATGAAGATTTTACTCGGGTATCTCAGTAAGATGCATGTAATTGTTTGAATGTTGTATTTCAGCTTCAAGCTCCTTTCTCACCCAGCAGAGCTTTTTTTCTTTCCTTTTGGCCTAGCCGAGGATCCCTTCAGACTAATGAAATTAAATGTTTTCCAGTTCTATTGAGAAGTGTATTTTGTTGGAGCAAGCAGTTTTCAATTTCAGAGTGTGACTCTTAAGCCAAAGAACCAGTCGGGAGTAAAATGTTCAATTGCTCAGTCTAATGGCAAAGGAACAAGTTAACATTGTATTTGACTGGAAGATGCATCAACAGCATTTCTGTAGTGAAAATAATGACTCATTTGAGCTGAAGATCCATATGTTACTTAGTGACTGCTTCACAAATACTAACTACTTCAGGGAAAGGATTTTGTGTATTTAAACCTTCAATATCCTCTTATTATTGTTTTTTGGGTTTGTCTTTTTTAAAAACAGTCCTCATTAAATTCAAAGCAGCTCTGAGTGACTAGAATGTGCTTAAATAGTTTATTTCCAAGTAATATAGCTATTGTTTCAACTGAAAATTTTGTAGTGCACTAATAGTAGGGTAGGAAGAGGCCTGAATAGAAGAAAATACTGCCTGTTTTTAAAAAGTAAGAGATTTGTGTGTGTTATCTCAAAAATGATACCCTGCCTCAAACAGCCATGGCTTCCTAGATGTTTGCCTTGACTGAAGATGCATTTTTAGTTTGCAGTGGGAGCACAGGTGTACATAGTCTTTCTAAATAAGATACTTGAAAGAATGAGTTGATGAGTTCAGAAATTATTATTTAGACACTGTAGCTTACTGATAGTTTGGAATAGGTTTTGGAGATGTGAAGAGAGCATAAACCTTAATAACACCGCAAATAATAATATTTACTTAGTAACATGTAATAATAGCAACACAAGTGTTTTAAAACATATGGAACAGTAATGCTTTGTCTTAAAATTTGAGAGCTTTTCTTGGAGCTGCAAAGGGCCACAATTGTTTTATCTTCATCTCAAGTGGAAAGTGGAATCATTCTAGTGTTTGTAAGGATTGCACTGAATGCTAGTGTGCAGTTTCACACAGCATGCAGATGCAAGAAAAGAACTGGGAAGTGCCTCTTCCATTTAGAAGTCAGAAGCAAGCAGGAATACCTTAGTCAGTGGGAAGAGTAGATGGTTCATTACATGAATGGAGAAGAAAGGACAGTCTGTAGCTATGGGCAGTTGTAAGGGAACTGGAAGACTGACTAGCAAGCTGGAGATACTTATGTAAATAATTTCATTATAATAACATGAGAAAAATGAAAACGTAATTTGAAAACTATTAGAAATTATATTTTTCAAGTTAATATTCTGGCCTGTGTTGCTGGGAAGTATAGTTGTGTTTGTGGCTGCTCTTGTTTTCCAGTCTGGCTAGTATTCCTGGATGGCATCGAGTTAGCCGTGGGAACTCAGAAGCTGGGGAAGTACTTTATGTTGTCCATTGTCTTGCTTGCTATAGTTAGATCTCTAGGAATGAATCTGTAAGCCTGCAGCATAGACAAACACTGAGAAAAAAGGAAGCCCTTCTTTTCTGAAGCTCTAATCCTTCCCCAACTTAAGCAAAACAATGTATTCAAGTAATTTTCATGACTTATATATTTGAATTTCAGTATATTTCAATAAACACTTCTAGCTTCATCTCCATGGTAATTGAGATCACATAGTTTCTTCATGGGCTTCTGAATGCTGGAATTTGTACGTGTTGTCATTTTAACTTGTTCCACTTTGATAAATAGGATGCGAGAGGGTGAACATGATTGACATATTGCTGCCGTTTGTCTGTGACAAATGTTAATTTTCTCCATAATGCAGTGTTAATGATTTTTGTAGCATACTTGCCATCTGTTTCTGTGTAGTCACTCTTTTATGGTGACTGGATACGACTTTGCAGGGGGATCTTTGCTCTCCAGGGTCAGCAGTAATAGGGACAATATTTTTTTGGCATCTTGTACTCCTGCAGTACTTATCTGCGCTTTTCCAAAATATTGAAAACCTAATGAAAAACAAGATGTCAATCTTAAATGCTGTTGTGGTTTTACTGTGGTTTTTTTGTCTTTTTTGTGAGGGGAAAAGTAAAGACAGTCTTTTCTACATTGGAGGATACATTCCTATATGTTAATGAGGAAAAGCTTATATTCTTTCCTGTAAACTGAAGTCAAGCAGAGAGGACACACTAAAAAGACAAAATTGAAGTGGATGTTCAAAAACATAAGGAAAAACTACTGTGAGGGTGACAGAGCACTGGAATAGGCTGTGCAGGGAGGTTGTGGAGTCTCCTCTGGAGTCTCCTCTCCACAACCAGCCTGGATGTATTCCTGTGTAACCTACTCTAGGTGATCCTGCTCTGACGGAGGAGTTGGACTAGATGATCTTCAGTGGTCCCTTCCAGCTCTGAAGACTCTGACTCTATGCATAGTTTCTGTTAAAATATGAAAATGATCACGAGTAATTTGACTGCAGTCTACAACTTCCTCAAGGGGGCAGCGAGGGTGAGGTACTGATCTCTCTCATGAGGAAATGGAATTAAGCTGTGTCAGAGAAAGATCAGTTTGGACATAGGAGTAAGGTTCTTCACTGAGAACAGTGGAGGTCGCTGGAGCAGGCTCCCCAGGGAAGTGGTTACAGCACCAAGCCTGTCAGAGTTCAGGGGGTGTCTGAATAATGCTCTTAGACAAATGGTTTAGTTTTAGGTGGTTCTGCAAGAAGCAGGGAATTGAAGTTCATGATCCTTTGGGTCCTTTCCAACTAGAAATATTCTATGATTCCATACAGTTTTTTTAGGAATAAAGACTTGAATCTTGGATAGCAACTACCAGATTAATGTTAAATTTACTGAATGTGAAACATGGTCTCCATGGAAGTTAGTAATGATATGTAAAAACCTGATATCACATTTTGATCATTAGAACTTCTAATTAATTTAGTATTACATCATTTGACTGTTACTTTTGCAAAAAATTTGGGTGCTAGTCAAGTGTTTTAGGTTGTTTACAAGTAACTGAAAGTTGGTAGGCATGAAACCAGTAACCTGAAACTTGTGTAATGGATTTATGTCAGAGCTGGCAGGGAAGCTGCAAAAATGTATAGCTAATCTATATGAAGACTGGGTATCTGTTTAATTGTTATTGTCATGTAAGGAAAGATTTATTTAATTTTGAAGTTGCATTTTCCCTTTCCTCTTTTTTCCTTCCTTTAATAGGTATGTAATAATATATACTAAGGTTAAAGTTTTTATTGCCATTTCTTCTAAATCTGAATATGAGATATTCGTGATCAAATCTGGGTTCACAATGGATAATTAATTTCACTACATGTTCAATTATTTTCTTTTATAAGGCAAAATTCCAAATAATGGTGTACTAGCTGCAGTTGCAGGTGAGCAGCCTCTTTGAGGTTAATACTGTTGACATACAAATAAGCACATGAATTTCTGATTCATTATGCTTTTACAAATAAATGGCAATTGGTCCAAATCAAAAAGTATCCATGCATGGAAATGCATAATTTTAAGGCATAAGGAGGGTTTTTTTGCTAACTGCATAGGATTTTTAGGTAAAATAGAGCATGCATCTATTTTCTGGTGTTTCCAAACTTCCCTGTTCTCTAAGCATCTTGGTTGCTTGCGATAGTACCATTTATGTAGCCCATCGTGGCCTTTCTGTACTCAACTTTACGTCAGCAGAGAATACAGTTGCAGTTTGTTCCAGTCCCACTTCTGAAACAGTGTCCTTGAGAGTATTACTACAGTGGCAAGAGGTGCCTTCCTCCTAGAGATTTAGAGAGTTTACATGATTGTATTTTAAAAGCTGAGCCCATATAACACAGAATCTGGCACTTGACTAACAGATCTATGCAGATCACACTATTTCAAGTGGCAATGTTGTGCATGCTGGTTTCAAGAAGTTTCCTTGGAGTAATGGAAAACTTTGCCTACAGTATCTAGGATGTTTTGTGATCAGAAATAATAATGCTATATGATTCTGGCTTCTTAAAAACAAATGTTAAGAGTACAGCATTATATATGGGAAAAAGCATCAGCTTCTTCAGATTGTTATCTGATGTAAATACACATTTATTCTCCATGAGTGAGACAGTGGGATTTTTTTTTCACTCTCTGAACTGATTTTTATGGATAGGCAGGTGTAGTATTTTGAAGGTCTCACATACTTAAGTGTCATACAAAGCAGCACTTTTATTATTTTGATGGATGTATTTTAAGCTGTTTTATTGGAGGGTGCTATGAGTCTACATATTTCTAAGGTTTTTCTTTTGACATGCAGTGATGAATGGGAAGTGCTGCCTTCAAAAAAATAAAAGCTGAAGAATTAAAAACAAGAAACTACGTCCCTGGATTTAAATAAAATTAATTTGACAATGCTGAGTTTCTTTCTGGTCATAGCAGTGTTGTGTCCTTAAATGTTGAGATGAAAGACTGGCTTGACTCAAATTTATAAAAATATGCTGCTCTGTTTGTGTTGATCCTTTTAGGATGTTTTTGAATGTGTTTGCTGATGCTGTGGTCTGAGCTATTGCCTAGATTCCTGTTATGATAAGGACATTCAGAGCTGCTACATGCCGAATACACTTGAATTTAATATAAAGATAATTTTGTACACATCACATTTTCCTTTGATAGTTACATCTCTGTACTAACCCATAGAATTTGTGTCTTCCAAACACTAAATCAAAGTACTGTGACTATGATTACCCCATAGAATTTACAGGTGGAATTCTGTATGCTGCATTCAGTACATATGGTGTTTCATTGCTTAATGTCTTGAAGTTCTCAATTTCTTGAAGTTTTCAGTAAACAGCATCTTCAATGCTGTTTAGTTTGTATAAACTAACTAACCAGTTTTCTAGAATAGGTAGTTTATGCACAAAACAGCCCAAACTGGCTAATTATTGCTGTATTTATTTTGCAGTTTGATTATAACTGAAATGTGAAATAGGAACTAGTTGTGTAGTTTTGAAATGCTCATACACTGACCATGCTGCTTAGCTTTTTTGTTGAGTTAATTCAGTCAGATTTTTAAGCTTGAAATCCCTGAGGTTCGTGTATGCCATATAGTGAGCTTTGTCAGCTACATTTACTTTCTTTTCCATTCAAACAAACGGTTCAGCTCTCAGTTGAGCCCTAAATATGCAGTGACTTTCAAAGGAATATCAACTAGGTATAACAGGAAAACCTGAAATTTCTTCTCAGAATGGAAGTGCTTTCTATGTGGAAGAATACTTGTGCATTATGTTCTCTTAGCAAGTACTCTGAAATGATTAAGAAACATGTTTTAGTATAAAGCTAGTGAAAGCATTGCTACTAATCCACTGAGATTTCTTAATTAGTTAAAGATAGTCTGTAAATGGAAGAAGAGTGAATCTTTGTGTATAGCTTCAGTATCAAGCTAAATGCACGTGGCATACTGGCCTTAAGTTGTCATGGAAGAAATGGCAATTCAGTATGGTATATTTTTTTCATTGTTCTGTCTACTGTTCACTCTGGTCGCTGTCACCTTAGTCTGTCACTTTTTTTCCTTTCCAGTCCTGTATTTTTTTTCAGATTTTGATGTGTTTGTTATTTTTACTTCCCCCAATTTTACATTCTTGTTGGCAATGTGTAAACTGGTATGGTGAATATGTGGTAGGAGAGCTAAGGATCTGGGTAGCCATGTAGCAGATAAAAACTGTAAAAGCTTAGATTGGCCTTTCTGTGGTCAACAAAAATTGAAAATGAGATTTGATACAGATCTGTGCTTGAAAGGGAAATGGCTGAACATGGCATATGGCTCTGTGCTTTAGATACTGAGAAAGAAATTCTGTTCATTTTTGTCTTTGTAAGGATGGGCTTATAGATATGAAAATTTGGAAATGCTATTCCCTGACTTGCTGTTTCCCCTGTGTATGTTTGTGTGTGTTGAGAGAGAGAATACTTGGTATACATAACATTTGCTACTTGAGTGCTAAGACAGATGCTTTAAATGTCACTTTTTTTTTCTGTTATGTATGCCGAAAGTAAATTTTTTGTTTAGTGAAATTATTTTTTAAAAAATATTTCAATTAGATACTTATATTCTTGAACTACTGTTTTCAGTCAAGAAAACATATATCTGTTGTAGTTCTTCAGGTATTTGATTCACTTATTAAGACCATCTGAAAGGACTAGCTGTTTGCTTATTGTATAATTTTTTGAAAATATTGATTTCTGAATTGCAAATGCTGAATCTAAAGTATTATGGGAAATCCTATTTTAATTGAGTTTCAATCCCAGTGTGACCTTTTGGTGATAGATCTTACTGGATATTTGACTGAAATTCACTTTTCTTTCCTACTTTAAAAAATGTACCTTTTTTTTCCCCCCCCTCTCAGAATCAACGAATCCCATCTGACATGGTGTTTCTCAGAACATCGGAAAAAACTGGTATGTTTTGATCATTTGGGTTACATATACATATCTGTGGTCATGGTAGAGTTTTAGATTGTCCATCATGGCCAATTTGAAGCGGTGGTATAGATGGATGGTAGATGTACCTTGATCAGATTAACAGGAGAGGGTCCGTATTTGAGAAATACAGTACACTTGGACTCCAGAACAGGAAAAATCTTATGTAGACATGAGACCTTTATAGACATGTTCCTCTAAATAGATGTTTTTTATGAATTATTATAACAAAATATTTAGTTAAAGCAAATATTAAGACTGTACTTAAAAGACTGTACTTGTTTAATATGACTTGACAGTATTTTAAGTTATTCACAAGTTATCATTATCTTGCAACTCACATTTAAATGTCATCTGATAGTATTCCAGTTATTGAATTGAAAATAACTGAAATCTGAACCTACTAATATGTTAAAATTTTTTTAGAAACTACGGCAAGGATTTAAAACCCTGAAAAAATGTGATTTGGTTTTTTTAATACTTAAAAATAATGCTGCCTTTCTGGTTAGCCAAAAAAAAAATCCCAACAATTTTATTGAGTGAGAGAGAGAAAAGTACTTCTTATTAGCTCTATTTCTCTTCACATTCTCTTAATTTTTGAGGAAAAAAACAAACAACTCCTTTGTAGGAAGCCTATAAATTATAGCTCTTTGGATTACAGTTTAGAAATTACTATTGGATGCCCCTCCCCTTTCCTCCCCCAACTCAAAATATTGTTTCCCTACTTTTATATTACCATTTCTCTTTGGATCCAATGAACTGTGACATTTGTCAGCACTAAATTTCACAAAGCTAGTACCTGTGATACTGGTAAATCCTGTGTTAGTGGCACTTGGTATTTCATTGTGGCACTGGAATTCTATAATACATTTCAGATAAAAGATAAAATTTGCAGAGGGAATTTGCAAGAGAAGACGTATTTGATAGCCTACAGAACAGTTATATGTTTGCTAAAAGAAGAAGAAATTACTGTGTATTCACGATTCTTGTTAATGACTTTCAAGTGCTGATGATGCAGTGCATTAGATAATCTATAACTGGTCTGGAGTGACAGAGCTTCCTAATAATCTGTATATAATCTCCATCTTGGTTAACCATCCTCTGGGTCAAGATACAAGATACTCGTTTATTCCCTTCCACAGTACTGCATTTTATCAAAATGTAGAATGCTTCTGATGACTCACATCTCTTGGATCCAGCATGATTGATAAAGGGATTGATAAAGTTTCTTATTGGGCTACTCA